AGCGCTACATGTGGCGATAGTAAGTAGTTCATAGGTCTCGCTCTCACAGTTAGGTTTTAATCCACTTTGAGTTGATCTTTGCATATGTGAGAGAGGGGCCCATTCCATGCTTTTGCATGTGGGCAACACCATTCATTTCTTTTTCACTTATAAATTTTCAATTAGCTTACAAAGTAATAGGTTTCCGTATGGGCTTATCATCCATACTTCATTTGACTTGATTGTCCCATCCCTCCCTTCTCTGCCTTGTCTTCCCCCTCTCTGTCCTTTCCCCCAATGCCCATCCTTCCACTTTGTTCTCTTGTCTTCTTTGCCCGCCCTTAATCCCTTCTAGTTTTCTGACCTTTACCCCTCTCTTCCCCTTCTTGGACACACATATGTGACAGAGGCAGAGATCTGCGGACGAGAGAGACCATACGGTTTGAGCCTGGGTTTCCTCCCTTAATGTTTTCCAGATTCAAGCATTTTCCTGCTAATGTCACTTTTCTTCTGCACACATGAATAAAACCCCATTGCATACATGGGCCACATTTTCATTACCTTTTCTCCAGTGGATGGCTATCTAGGCTGACTTCATTTCTTGCTGCTGTGAGAAAAGCCAGTGAAAGCTATTACAGGAAGTGGCATCCTTTGGGTATATGCACACGAGGGCCAACAGTTTTTATTAAAGAGACTTTCTCCCACTGCATGCCCTTTGGTCCCTTTGGCATATATGTATTGACAGTAAGTATAGAATTTTGTTCTAAAGACTTTTTCAGTTCGATAGAACATATGTTGTCTTTATGGCAGTACCATGCTATTTTGTTTATTATAGGTTTTTTTAAATCATATTTCAAAGCTAAGGAGTACTGCCTCCAATTTTTTTGTTTTGCTATTCTTTTGTGACTTTATACGAATCTTAGGATCTATTTTTCTATGCACTATAAAAATGTCATTGGTCTTTGGTGGGGACTGGATCCAAGATAGCTTTGGGACTCTTTCTTCATACAGCACAGTCTCTGCCCTTTATTTTCCTTTTCCCTGAAGGAAAAAGATGGTCCCACTCAGAATAAAAAAGAAAAGCCCTCAATTTTTATGAGAAACTACAGAATATCAAAGACAAAGAAAAGAAATCTAAGCAACTATTAATATAATTAGTATGCTTTATTCCTCTCTCTCTCTGTCTTTGATATGGTGTGTGTGTGTGGGGGGGGTGTCCTCACTAGATAGCCCAGGCTAGCCTTGAACTCAAACTCTTTGTTTGGACTTCCAAATGTTCCTTCACTTTTGAGGAGCAGTTTTCTCGAGGTTTAGAATACTCTGTTGCTAGGGTGTTGGGTGAGACAGTCTCACAACACAGCCCCAGCTTGTGGTGGTGATTCTTCTGCCTCTACCTCCAGAATGCTGTGAGCCTCACACACTATATGACTGCACATTCAAACAAGCAAAAGCCCATCCTTTAGCTTGGCACACCTCTAGCAAATTTCAAGAATCAGCTTGGTTCTTTCCTGCAAGGCATCTGTGCAGCAAGATTGACTGTTCATATGAAATTCCTGTGGGGGGGGGGGAAGGCTGTATCCATTAGCAGGAGACTGTCGGGACTGTTCTGCTAAGCAAACCAAAGATATTTCCCCCAAGAATTAGACCGTATCAGTCAGAATGAGGTTCAACTCAGAAACAAATGAAGACTGTTGGCTGTCACACACACAGGACAGGAAAGTAGGCGAGAGATCACATCCTCCCATCCTGCTATCCATTCTCACATACGCAGACGTTCTTTAGAATGATGGTGTGCAGGGTGTTCACACTGGACATAGCAATTGAAAAGAAGATGAATGTGGCCGCACACTGCTTCCCTGAAATGAATGAACAGAAATTTGCCACACTTAGATTTGTGGTTTTCCACACCAGGAAAGGTGTGTTGGATTCCAGGGCACACCAGGAGTTTCTCCTTGAGTGGGTTCTGGATGAGCCTGAGTCCCATGTCCCCAAATGATGCTGGTTATGTGGGTCCAGGGAACTACACTCTGTCAAACATTAAGTCTGAAACCATCAATGCTTGATGAGCCTTTACAAGAGCGGTTCTCAACCTGTGGGTTGTGACCCCTTTGGGGGTCCTGTATCAGATATCCTGCATATCAGATATTTACGTTACAATTTATAACAGTATCAAAATTATAATTATGAAGTAGCAATGAAATAATTTTATGACTGGGAGGGTGACCACCACATGAGGAACTGTATGAGAGGTCACAGAATTAAGAGGGTTGAGAACCACTGCTTTGGAAACTGCCTCTTAATTCTGTTAATTTTTCTGGTATTCTTTAATGACATTTTTAAGTTAATTTTTTCTCTAAATAGTAGAAACTTTTACTAACAAGGCTATATGTGAGCTATAAGGTTAGACTTACAGACAACACACTCCACATTTCGCAGAGGAAACTGAAACTCAAGCATGTCTGGGACAAAGCCAGGAACAACCCACACATTTGATTCTAAGTCAGGGTTATGATCACAGTTTTATAATGAGAGAGAGAGAGAGGGAGAGAGAGAGAGAGAGAGAGAGAGAGAGAGAGAGAGAGAGAGAGAGAGAGAGAGAGAACAGCTTTAAATTAGGTTTTAAAAACCTTAGCCATGCCTGCTCCAGAGCAGCCACTCACTGCAGTGACTTTCCATATACAACAGTGGTCCCATAGAAGCATCTGGCACCATTGCTACCGTTTATTTCTCATCAGCATGATCTATAATATTCGCACAGGACATCATACAACACTGTTTCCCCAAAAGCACTGTGCTGTTGAAGGAGATACATGGCTGTATCTGGTGCACTTGCTAGACGTCCACCAGAATATCCCACTCTAAAGGGCAGACCTATGAAAATCACCTCGTTTGGGACCATGCGGCCCCACGCTCTGAGCGCAGGTCTTACCTTAACTCAGGTTGCCAGGAGCACAGAGGAGACTGAAGTCAACTCTGAGGGACTTAACTGAGGCAAGGCTCTGTTGAAATAGGAGCGGCAGGGCTGCGTCCCCGGCACCCGGCCGCCCGCATGGCTAGTTTATACCCAGAAATAATTACACGGAAACTGTATTCTTTTAAACACTGTCTGGCCCGGCTAGGTCCAGTTTCTTATTGGCTAGCTCTTACATATTGTTCTAACCCATTTTTAATATTCTGTGTAGCCCATGAGCTGGCTTACCAGAGAGGATCTTAACCTGCGTCTGTCTGGCGTGGGAGAATCATGGCGGACTCCTCACTCAGCTTCTTTTTCCCAGCATTCTCCTCTGTCTACTCCGCCTACCTAATTTTCTGTCCTATGAGGGCCGAGGCAGTTTCTTTATTATTAACCAATGAAATCAACAGATAAGATACAAGACCCACCTCCATCAAGGCTCCCAGGATCTCCCTGGAAGGATAGCTCTGGTGTTTACATGGGGGAAATGTTGGGGAATGTCTTCCACACAGTGTGTACCTGGAGAGCTTGACGGAAGCCACACACACACACACACACACACACACACACACACACACACACAAACTATCCTTTCCTATGGGAACACATCCTAAGACCCCTTCAAACTATCAACAGTACTGATTCTGATATAATAGGTCCACTTTATAAATGAACAAAGTCCAATTTATAAAGCTGGCAGAGACAGGCTTAACAATAACTGTAGGAAAAAAGTACGCTTAGGATATTATTTTGATGTAGTTTAGATCTTGAATAGCCCCCAAAGGCTCATGGCTTGCATTTCCCAAGGGGGTGCTTTTGGGAGGTAGTCATAGCTTGAGCAGGTGGGGCCTAGCGTGAGGTCTTGAGGTCACTGGTAGCATGATTCTGAAGGCAACTGTAGGACCTTGGTTCCATTCTCTTGCTCTGAGGTATTGGCTTCACAGGGATGTCCAGAACAATAGGGTGAGCAGACTCTGGACTAGAAGCTCTAAAAGTGTGAGCTGGGAACCTTTTTCTTGTTAGGAATTTAGTATCTCCAGCACCTGCTGTAGTAATGGAAAGGTAACTCAAAAAGTTAAGAGAAACCCCATATTAATATAATTTTTAAGTGAATCCCACATCAGAGAATAGTGCTAATAAGAAGCTAGAGCTAACGGGCCAAGCAGTGATTTAAATAATATAGTTTCTGTGTGATTATTTTGGTTCTGGGAAGTGGGAACCAACAAGCGGCTCTCTCCTCCTACAGTTTTCTCTGAACTGATACTAAACTGCCTCAGAAAGGAAACTTAATTTGGCTTTTTCTTTGACGACTCTGTAAATCCTACATGCAAACCAAGAAATGAGATACAATATTCTGGGATGCTCAGGGTAACCAGAAAGCCAGACAAGAGCTGACAAGAAGATGAAGTTCCTCAAGACTGTGCTCTGGACATCCCACCAAGCATAATCTCAGGAACCCTCAACTGTTCCTTAGAACATGTTCGCCCACTTGTTAGTGGGGCCGGAAACTTCCATTTGACTCTGCCAGTGGTTCCTTGGGAAAGGATGCACCAATCTCTGCGATGGCTTTTTGAAGATTTAAAAAAGACAATGAGATGTATAATTGAAAAAACAAACGAATTTAGGACAATTGGGAAACAGGCTGTCAACTAGTCCAACAGCTATTAGGAAATGGACACTAACCCCTTCTCCTGTGACAGTGGGACAGTCTCCCGCTCTTAGATTTGTGCTGAGTGTGTGATACTGTGACTTACATCCTCACAGCTTATTAAAACGGGGAGTGCAGAGCAGAAAATATTGTTAAATCTCAGTGGGAATGGTATACAGGTATTCACTGGGCCAGTCTCCACATAAAAATGTTACCTTTATAGATTTTCTGACTAATGAATGAAATTTAAGCTATGAGACAAAGCTGATAGGGACAGTGTGGCTTGAACAGCAGCTGCCCCTCTTTAAGTTAGGAAAGCAGTGGTCTCCTTTGCCTTTAACAACACGCGCAGATCGTTTCTGGAGAAGTCCCCTCTGCTCGTGTGATCTATATAGCAATAACCTTCTCCTCTCTCTGCAGGAAGCTGCCATGTCAAGCCCAAAAGGTTTCAGCGCCCCCAGACTCATAAAAGAAGAGACGACAGCATCAAGGTAAGCTATCGGTTTATTAGGAAAGTACCAACACCATATCCTTCGAAATTACTGGAATTTTATTTGCCTCAGGCTTATGACTTGCAACCAAAGACATTGTGCAAAGAAAGCAAAGATTAAGTACACTTTAGGGAGAAGGAGACCATACACATTGGTAACACAGGAGCTCAGGTGACAAAAGAAGCCATCGGGACACTCCAGACACAGTAATATTCAATAGCATTGTCAATAAAACAAGAGCAAAAAAAAAAAAAAAACCGCAATGTTGACAGTAGACATAAATCTTATACAAGTCAAAAAGCTTTTTTCTTTTGTTCTTCCGATCATAGAGCATAAAATGGAAAAATGTATATGTAGGTGATATCTAACTACTGTACACTTGTCACCTAGGGAAGTTGCTTATATGTACCACAGTGTAAAAAACAAACAAACAAAAACAATACTGAACAAATGAAAATCGCCTGATGAAAAATAAAATAACCAGTGGCCTTCAGTGGCTGCTCCTGGTCATCAGCACTGTAGAAGATAGAAATCTTCTCACCAGGACAGAGGATAGAAGCAAGCACATCAAACCGCTTCCAAATTCGACCCGCCTGTAGAAATATACTATCCACCCACATCTTTTCCATCAAAAGCTTTTGTTTTTAATCTTTGAATCTTTGAGGCCCATTTGGTCACAATATGTTACAAATGTGTGTGTGTGTGTGTTGTTCTTTTTTTTTTTTTTTTTTTTACACCATGATATCATATGTTTGTCTGGCACTATCCTAAAGCTAGTTCTAGATGAAAATGAGGACGGAGAAATAACCCAGTGCCCAAAGGGCAAATGAACTCACTGGGGAGAAAGGAGAGGGGAAGAAAGTGTGCGGTTCTGCCACGGTCAGCTCGAGTCCACACTGCTCACTCGTCATCAGTCCCGCTTGCTTCTGACTGCTCCTGAGAGAGAAAGGTAGAAAGAGTTGAGGGCGCCACATCTCCTTCCGTGGGAAGACAGGCACTGAGTGTGGAGGCATGGGCACTCTCTATGCTGAGGAGTGCCCAGCCAACAATCTCCAGGCGATGCCTGCCAGCCGCATTTGCTGTCTGCCACTTCGGCTTCTGAAGTTTATGGCGAACTGTTTCTATTTTTATCTGAGCCTTGGAAAAACTGTCCCACAACAAGAGAAAGATCGTGCCTTGAATATCTGCTCGCTGGTAAGCCATCTCAAGAAAACACAGTGTTTTAAATCTAACCAAAATAGAATAAGCCTAATTCTAGAACTTCCCAGTCGGGCTGAGGTTGCAAAGTGTTGAAGGAGAATCAAATTCACAAATATACTAAAATGGAAACCGGTCTTTCCAGGACGGAAACTGTGTAGGGACTGGGTGGCAGGGAAGCTGAGAGTTAAAGGAGGGGACTGGCCAAGCTTCTGCCTGTTGTTCTCCCGAACCAGGAACCAGGACCCAAGTCACATCTACGTGATGATACACATACAAACATTAATTGTTCTTCAGAGCGGAAGCTACCTGCTTTGACAAAACACTCCTTAAACATTTTCCCGATAAAACGAAAGCCTCGAGATATCTAATCTCAGGGCACCAGAGCCCAAATCTCTGACATCAAAATGCTTTTTCCTTCTCCTCCTCTAACCAGTATTTTATCTGATCTGCTATATGCTTACAGCAAGCTGGGTGAGAGAGATATAAAATATTAACCAGCCATGAAGAAAACTGTATTTGCACCTGCGTGCCCTAGGAGATTGAAAAGAGGGGTGGGGACTGATGGAGGAGCTTTTCATGTCTGCAGCGACACACACAGCTTCAGACTCCGCGTTCTAAATTCCGCAGCTCTGTTCCCATCCTCAGTCTAAACGAGGAGGGGCGCATACCCCAAGACAGCCTGAGAGCTGGAGATGCCCGGGCATGCGCACTCACGTTCTCATCCTGTTCCTCGTCGCTGTCAAAATCGCTCACTACAGGTTTGGCTTTGCCTCGATTTGGCCTCTTCTTGCCTTTCCCAGTGTCCCGGCCTTTCTCTTCTTTTTTATTGAGCTTGATCTTCACCTTCACAGATTTTGCTGGAGTGGACGCAAAACAGACCACAGTGAGGATTCAAAATCAGTAAAATGATTATCCCACCTGGAGATGCCAAGCCCGACTTCCCAGAGTGCCAGAGAGCCTCAAGAGTACCCTGTCTAGTTAATCCCTGTGCCAAGAGGAAGTGGTTAAGTGACATAGTCACAGGGAGAAAGACCTCAGCGTAGCGGATGGATCCTTTCCCTGGCTCCCGAGGGCTCAACAGGGCAGTTATCAAATAAAAAATTACATTAGCTATTAACAAATCTTACAAAGGTTAAAAAAGGATGATTCCACTGTGTAAGTTACTCTTTCGTTTAAAACTTTAGTAGAGTTCGATTAGCATTTTTTTAATGTAGAAATAGGACAAAATGGAAATAAAGACAACATACTTCTTTTGCCCCATTTCATGGCTCTCTAGTGATTATTCACAGAAAAATATTCTATAGACTTATCACACCAAAAATCCAAGTATTTATAGACACACACACACACACAATTTTATTTAGTTACTACATGGACCTTCAGGCACACCCACTGTCCATGCCTTGCTCTTTACTTACACACAGGAGAGAGCCAAATGTATTAGCTCACTCATGTAGCTTAATTCTGTTCAACACCTGAAAAGTTCCCATGCTCGCTTCACACTATAACTGATTTAATCAGTCCCCAGCGATGGGCGCTATAACAAACAAAGCCACTGTGAAACCATGTTGGCAGACGTTGGTGGGGGTACAGTGGTAGGAGCCACATGGGACATTCTAATGCTATCCGTCAAATGCACCTTCAGGAAGACTGCAGCCCCTTCTGCTCTTACTCAGAAGAGTACAAAGTGCCATGGCTCCGAAACAACTTCTAGAATAGGTACCCAATGGCTACCACTCCCAACTGTTTGAGGGTGAGGTCACGAGAAGGTAGAGCTACCACATAAGCCGGTGTTCATAGATCTCCAGCCTGGCTGTACAGATTACAGCGGGGATAGGGGATTTGGTCATTGCAGAAAGGAGATGTGAGATGAGACTTCCAGTGTCGTGGGAGAATATAAGGAAATAGCCTCATTGGAACAGTAAAGTAAGACATTCTGATAACATTTTTAAAATGCTTTTAGATCTGTTAAGTGTGGAAACTTACGCTAAAAAAGTATCATAAAACTAGAACACACTTCTCAAAATACTATAGATTATACCATTTATTTTCACTTCCCAAGTCACTAAGCAAATAATTAGCAGTCAACCAAACGGTGGTCTTGAAGGCCTGTCTCTAAGCAGACCAAAACTGACAGGCGTCCTCACTCAGATGAGTTTGACAATTATTTTTTAAAAAATCAATGACTGACTAAGTGGGGCCTGAGCCAAGCAGCACCCCGTGGGAACTTGTTAGATGTGGGGGTGGGTGATGAGGCTAGCATGTTCTTTAAGCCCTGTGGTTGTCAGGCTATGGTGCTAAGGAGTGACAGGTGGTGTGCACATCAGTGTGACTCCAACATCCAAAGGCAACACGGGCAGAGTTTTCTCAATGAACCTTGGCAGGCCTGAGCTCCGTGGCTGCTGTGCTCAATGTTAACAGCTGAGAAGACTGGCATGAGCAGGGTGAGCATATGGCCTTAAGTACCCGTGGAAACAGCCCAGGACGTGGGCGGGGCCCAAGGCGGGGGCTTACCCTCTGACTCGGACTCCTCTTCATCATCTTCCTCCTCCTCTTCATTGCTCTCTTCCTCACTCTCTTCTTCTTTGGCAATTTTCTGCCGAGCACTCTTAAACACTGACTGTAGGACAATGGAGTCTTCATAGATCTAAATGGTCACAGTGTCAACTGTTAAAAACCATAGGCTGAGGCCCGCAGACCCACAACTGTTGTATGCACCTCCCTCCTTCAACAACACACATACACAGGCACACGCGCGCGTGTGCGCGCGCGCACACACACACACGCAAGTACACACATGCGCACGCATACACACACAAGCACACACAAGCTTTATTTTAGGAGATGCCACTATTGGCTCCCCCACCCCCTCCATGTGTACAGTGGGTGTGGCCACACATGTGGTTATCAGGTATCTTCCTCAGTCACTCTTTTATTTTAGTCACTGAGGCAGGATATCTATCTGCTAGAATTATAGGCTAGCCCCTAAACATACCCAGATTCTGGAACTCTAAACTGGTCCTCACACTTGTATGTTAAATGCTTTCAACACTGAGCCACTCCCCAGGTTACCATTAACTCTAGTGAAAACCCAGAGGCTAAACCATTGAGTCTAAATATAGGCAAAAAGATACTCAGAGGAAGACCAAATACACGAAGCCAAACTCAAAAGGATGTGTTGTGGCAGACGGGTGCAGAAGGCAGTATCTTTGACAATATTTTAAGCCACACTTATTTAAGTGGCTCCCTTAAATACCGTGACAAAGAAACCCTTTACGAGGTTGTTCCCTGTCGCTGAGCTTCAGTGCAGCCAAGTCACACAGTGCAGACCGTGCACAGCAGTGATAAGACACCACTGAGAAACAGGAAGTCAACCTAAACACGGTCCTTTCCCTCAAGAAATTCAAACAGAGCCACTCTATGATCCAGCAACCTCATGTCTGGAGAGACACCCAAAATAATGAGACGCAGAGTCATGGGGAAATACATATCCTCCGCACGCTCGTGTTCTGAAGAATGCACCATAGCCAAGAGCTAAGAGGGAGCTCAAAGATCTGCAGATAGATGGACGACTAAAGACAACATGGCAGATGCAGCCAATAGGATTCAGCCTTTGGGAGGAGGGGCCTCCCATCACCTGTTACAACACAGAACAGCCCTAGGAGGCCAGTCACCGATAGATGGACATGAAGTGATCCCACTTACGTAGTCAAATTCATGCGATGTAGAGGGTGGTTATAGAGGAACTAGGGTGTGGGGTAAGAACTATTAAAGGCATATGGTGTCACCATTTCTAAGAGATGAAATACTGCCACTGACCTGTTAAAGACCCCCAGGGGCAGCCTTAACACTACTGAGCTGCACCCTTAAGAAACAGTTAAGGTGGTAAAGTTTATGTTATCTTTTGAGCACGATTCAAAAGCAGTGTGTCAAGGAATGGCCTTCGCTCTCTAGGACTGGATTCTTTTGCTGTCAAGATGACCCACATACTGGAGGAAGTGATGCGGCAGCCTGAGGCAAATGGGGAAGACAGTGGGGATGGGACGCTGGGGGGGGAAAAATCTGCCAGAGATCTGAGCTGACAAGCCAGGGTGAGGATGAACCGGCTGGGGAGAGACAAGCGCAAAGGCTCGAGGCCAGGACGGGGAGATGTGCGGAGCACACTGTCAATTCCTGGATGGGAAACTGGACGCTGCTCGGCAACAAGCCAAGGGCAGGGTCTCTGTGTAACCTGACCTGGCCTCCTGCCTCTCTTCTGCTGGACATGGGAGCATCAGGCCGGAAAGACAAATTGGAAAAAGATCAGTTCCCATCAAAGGTAAGTGGAATTGAGTTGTAATTAAAGCAGGAATGTCCTCCTCCTTATGTCCGTAAGTTCACTGTTACTTACAATGACTCCCCCACCCCCCATTCTGTTTTCAATCACTGTGCTTTGAACTCTTCATGTAAAGTTACAGTTAGAAAAACGGAGGTAACTATCATCGCATACAGTCTCCATGAGCAGAGAGATGGTACCCAGCCTCGGCATTGCCTTCAGTGGCTTGCTTGAGTTCCTCCTCTACTGAGAAGGTGAGCCTTGAAGGAAGTGTGAGAAGAGGACCGCCAGCGATGGCACAAAACCTCCCTCTATTCATATTGGTAGCAGAGAACATGTCCTTTCGGTTTTCAGTGTTCGGCTGGGGTGGAGGCAGGGATTCGAAAAGTAGAAACAAAAAGGCCTCATTTCTGAGAACCTCAGCCTGGTTAAGGTTAGACACTTCTCAGACAACTCGGCACGTACCTGAGATCCCTCCAAGTTGAATGTCTGTGCATTGTGACAGAGAAGCATGACATCTTTCTCCAGGTCACCCAGGCTCCGGTACTTATGATTACGAATTCTTTCCTGATGGGAATTTTGAACAAAACAGAAGAGGAATATGTAACTGTCCTTGTTTGTTTAAGGAAGCCCAGGTTTTCCCTCTCTCTTCATAGCGTTCAGCCTTGCTGAGCGGGCGGGACTGCACAACCCCAAGGGGTGCCATCGAGCAAGACCACCCTCCCACCCGTGTTCCTAGGCATGGGGAGGAAGGTGCACAGAATGGGAACTGCGTGGCAATGGAGGGAGATGAAGGTTCCCAACAACATGCAATGTATATAAGCTGAGCATCCAATGATCAGATAACATGAATGGAAAAAACCAACCAGAGCCATCCCTTCCCGACTTCTCCTGGGGCAAGCCTTGTGTAGGTCAGTGCTTAGCAAACGGGAGACCACTACCCCAGCCCCACGAGAATCACTCCAGCGCAGCCATGCATCCCCTTTGTTTACTCCAAGAAGAACAGTGAACAGAGCATCTACCTTGATCTTTTTGAAATCCACTGGCTTCCTAATTAATTCATAGTATTCTGGTAACTCTTTCCTGGAAGGTAACTGAATGAAGACTTCACTGAGCTGTCGCCCTGAACTGCAGGATGGGGGAGACAAACAGAGAGAAAGCAGATGAGGCACTCCTCAGGGAAGGGGTCATTTCAGAGACTGTCAATAAAGCAATGGAGGCCCCACCAATATAGGCACGGCGGGGGGGGGGGGCTCTGTACATGGAGGAAACGCCCACCACTGCCCCCCTCCCCGTGCCGGCTTCAAACAACATGAAAGCACGGTTAGGTCCCCATTTCTGTCACACACACACACACACACACACACACACACACACACACACACACACACGAAGTGGCAAGTATTCTGTAAACTCCCCTGTCAGGAGATAATCTCTTTTCATCATGACAGAAATATGTAAAATAACTTATTGAGCCCAAGCCTCATTTTAAATGAGTTAGGAGAAAGCACACGGACATGACTCCCATGTTCCTTTTGTCTTCAAATTCACTGTATATTTAGAAAATATGCTAAAATATACAGAGAGATGCAAATGCGAAGCTGTTGTGCACTCCCCACAGTCCTCTCTGTCTCATTCCTTTTACAGTGTTCGAATGCCATGAGCCCTTTCTATTATCCCTTGCCCGAGGAGCCCCTCACGTCTCCCAAATGCACTTCTGTGTGTGGAGCAATTTGGCAATTTAGGGGGGGGGGAAAAAAAACCAAACCAAGAACAATTGCTAACATGCACACTGCATGTTTCTAGCCTGGGCTGCGCCCTCCCCCCAGTGCACGGTGGTTTATTGAAAGCAGGTTTAGTAGAGAAATGCTTTAGCGTTTTGTCATTCGGAAGAACAGGCTGCAGAGCAACAAGGTTTTCACATCACTTAACGCTGGGAGTCAGGCACAGTGAAAGCAACAAAGAAGGATAATTGAGGTTCAAGATCCTAATACCCGATTGGGCCTCCCCTAAATCAATAACAGCTTATGATATATGGTCTACTCATTTTCCACAAAAATCTCGCTGCCCTTTTGACGGCGTCTCCCAGTTCCTTTGTGAAGGCAGAAACATCACATGGTAATCGTAAACCCCGGCATGTAAATTTTGGAAGGTGGCTGCGCCCGTGCTCGGGAATGCGCAGAGGCAGTGGCAAGGCACGGGTGACAATATGCTGCTTTAATCCACAGTCCCAGTTGTATAATTAAAAAATAATCATAATGACAGTTATCATAAAAGAGGCATGCGCAGTAACTCAAGTGGTTGCCTAGCAACCAGCGGGGAAAAAGCTGAAGTGCAAAGGGGCCTGCATAAATTAACCGACAATACTCAGTCAAAGGGTGGGCAAGTTTTTCGGCCATAGCGGGTCACTGTTCTTCTTTTATTTTTAATGCATAGATGCCTCATGAATACAACATTGGGGACAAACACAAGAGGTTTGAAAACAAGACTACGGAAGGCTAGGAAATTAGATTCTTGGATTTCCGTGGCAAGAACCAAGGTGTCCTCTTACTCCTCCATCCTGGCAGGCTGAGATACATTTGTTTGTACATCTGTAATTTGCATCATAGTATATGACACATTTTCTTGTTTACAACCAATTTCAACACAGGGCCACAATTTTCCTGATGCTTTGAAATTTATAAACTCATATTTTACCTGTTTTAAAAAAGAATATCTGAATAGCACCAAAAAAATGTCTCTCTCCCTCTCCCGCCTTCTCTTTCTCACATACACACACACACACAGAGCACAGCACACTCACTCACACACACACACACACACACACACATACACATTCTAATTCTGAGTGTTTCCTTTAAAATTAATATTCTTCAAATCCTGGCATCAATCTACACGCCAGACCTTTCTGTAGTCGTGCCTTTAAGACCCGAACCTCAGTGACATCTTCAGTGTCATTTCCTACGTCCCCAACAGATGGTGTCAGTTTTCTATTGACAGATTACAAGCATATCTCTGCTCTGGACACCCGTGATGGGCAGACTCCGGATTTCACCTGTGCTCCTGTGAAGGGAGAATTAAACACCAGGGACTAGACCCAGGAAGCAGACTAGAACTCGGAGAGCACAAGGTCACAAAGGCCAGCTGTGCCTGCCTTCTCTGTCCTGTCAAACCTGCAGATCCCAGGTTCACCAGAGAGACAAGTCCAGAGTCACCGGTGCTCAGAAGAAGAGAGCTGAATGTTCCCAGACTTGGTGTTGGTGCTATTGAATGAGAGCAAATGTATCTTATCTTACTTAAAAAAATAAAGCCCCACTGGACTAAACACTCTATCCTTCTTTTTCTGGAGAAGCCACCTAAGGAAGTTGTCTGGTGACCAAGACCTCCAAGGTGTGGTCTCATGCCCCAGCTGTTTCACGGACACCTTCTGAGCTCAGCAGAACAGTCTCCTTCTCTTCCGGGCATCCTCATGGATGACTGGACATTTCTTATATCTGGTGCTGGAGGTGGTGAGACACGGTCTACTCCAAAGCCCAAAGACAGCCAAACCTGTGGCAATCATTCTAGCTGCTAGGACTACAGGTATTGCTAATTCGGGTTGAAATTCACCCCCTTCAAACATGTTATGATCCTCCCACCATCAAGATGCATTCTCCATAAACGTGGAGGACAGTCACTTTACTATTAATTGCATTTAACTCTATACCGCCCTTCCTGGAAATTTCTCTCCTTCCCACAGGAGAGATCACAGGTTCTATAATCCAGTCTTCCCTTGTCATTCTTTCCAGGGCTGGCGGGAGAAGAGAAAGATCTCCCTGAACTTGGAGATTCCAGGGGCAGGTGGCAAGCACTTTCCTGTCTCCCAGGGTGAATGGACGCAGGAAGATGATGGCTGTGTCAGGTGCACAAAGAGAAGCACCACACTTCACCCATAAGTGGGGACCATGCTTCACCCATAAGTGGGACCACGCTTCACTCATAAGCGGGGACCTGAAAACCCTGCATGCCAGGTGCACGTGCACACACTACTGAGATTTGGAAGCCAGTTTTTTTCTCATCACTTCTACAACCCACCAGGTGGACTTTCCCCATCTGTTCTACTGACTCTAGATGGAGGCTGTACATGATGCATCCCCTGCATAAATACCAGCTTCACCTCAGTTCGGTACTGCAGGACATACGCTTTAGACGAACCTGCTTAGAAATCCCTTCCTTTAAAACAGTGGCTGGTATATCTTCCAATGATGCCTTTCAAGTCCAAAGCAGTAAGTCTAATACTTTTCCCCCTTTTTATGATCCCCACTCTCCTCTGCCTGCCCCCACCCCCAGACAACCTCATATATAGACTAAACTGGCCCAGTTCACTAGGTAGCTGAGGCTGACCTTTGAACTTCTGATCCTCTGAAGTGCAAGGATTAAACACGTGCCTGATTGGTTTCTGTAGTATGAGGACCAAACCTGCGAGGCAAATACCCTAGCCTGTATTTTCTTTATCATCTAATGAAGCTGATCAGTTGCCTTTAACGGTTGTGGACAAAATATAACTGCCTGAAGTCAAAGTAAGTCTTGTTTACTTTAAGCAACAAAAGTAAAGCTATGACTTACTCCATAAAAAAAGTGAAGTTATGCTTTAGAACACCCACTTGGGGTTGGGGGTATGGCATAGGGAAATGAATGCAGTCCTGAGGGTATCCTACATAGACATAATTTGGGAAGAAAACCTAGAAACTAGAATGACATCATAGCAGGGGGTGAGAAACGTGGCTTTCTCCTCAGATCAGGTTCTTGGAGAAGCTTCATACACACTGCTGATAAATTTCCTCAAGATTACAGGTGTTCCCCGATTATCTAAGGGACCCCAGAGTTCTGGCAAGGTAGGAAACACAAGCCATGAGCACACCACAGTCACTAGTGAGATCTCCTGTCTGGGTCTCATGCTCACTGAGCCACGATTGACACTGGCTCTGACATCCCAGACTCTGATGCCATTCAATCAGTACAGGACATGCTTTTGTTTCTAGAAGGTGGGTGGTTAGCTGTTAGAAGTACCCCAAATATCAAGGAAGAATACAGATACCACGTTCCTCAGTTATCAAGAAACAGGAGGCAAAGAAGCCAAGCCCCCACTCAGCATCGCCACCTGACTTCACCCAGTCCAGGAAGAGTGGCACTCTGATGCTGTTCTAATTATTATTGCTTCCTCTAGGCTGAAACAAAGATAAGATGGGGGTGGGGCAGAGAGATGGCTCAACACTAAATGCACATATCACCACGCCTAATGTTCCACATCCAGACCCAAACAGTAGGAGAGAGCCAGTTCCCACAAGTCACAAGTCATCCTGGTGTAGGAGGTCCTTCTGTCTCTATGTGTTGTTTTTATTGGTTAATGAATAAAGAAGCTGTTTTGGCCAGTGGCTTAGCAGAATAGAGCTAGGCGGAAAAATTAAACTGAATGCTGGGAGAAAGAAGGCAGAGCCAGAGAGATGCGAGCTGTCAGCTGGAACCTTGCCGGTAGGACACAAGCCTTGTGTTAAAATATAAAATAATGGAAATGGGTTAATTCTAGATGTAAGGGCTAGCCAGTAACAAGCTAGAGCTAATAGGGCAAGCAGTGATTTAATTAATACAACTTCTGAGTGGTTATTTCAGGAGTCTGGGAAGCTGGGACCAAGTAAGAGGCCTCCTACTACACTGTCCTTTGACTTGCACATATGTGCCACAGCATGCACACACACAACCACACACATGAACATACAACACATATGTAAAAGTAAAAAAGATTAATATGTTTAAGATGGTCATCGTAGGGTAGCTTAAAATAATTTAAGTCAAATAGCCCAGTGATGGGATACTAAGGAGTCTAAAGCTGGGTGGTTTAAAAGGATAGGAGAAGGAATTTGTTTGTTTGTTATGGAACTGGAAAACTAAACAAAACACCCAGAGGTTATAGACTTTTTAAGTGTAGTCTGTCCTGAAAGTTTTGAAATAAGCATAGGAGAAAGAGATCAGAGTAAATAGGGGCAACTTTGTGCTCACAGTAACATACTCTGCGGCAAGATTTATAATCCAGTGCAGCTCTGAACCAGGTCACCCACAGAGTGGGTCTCAACACTTTGATTGGGTTACCTTGTTCAACAATGTGCTGTAGGTCAAAAATCCCATTTTATTTTCCCTAACAAAACGGCGTGTGTATGTCAGATGGCAAGCTTTGGTTTCTATCAAATGGGCAGCAGGCTTCACTACTGACTCCTTCAGAGCTGACCAATAAAGCAAAGTAAATAAGCAGAATAATTAATTACATGACAACTTTACCCAAGATACTGCGATCATAAGACTCTATCGATCACACTTACAATGTCTACCACTGCCAGGGACACTTGAAAAAGGACATACACTTGCAGGCATTTTATTTTCTTTCTTCACTTTATATTATTTTTTTTTTATATTTTCACCCTCAACTCCCAATCCTCCTGCATCATCTTCCCGGGTACTGGAATTACAGACATGGACTACCAAGTCTGGCTCTTCTATTTTCTTGGCAGGCATCTTGAGACATTTTTAGTAGATTTACCACCTATCGCTTGACTTTTAGAAATACTGACACTGGCCATCTAGTTTCCTACACATTTTTTTTTCTCACTTGACATTTCATAATAGCAAGAGAAGGTATGAATTCTCACCTCCCTCTGTCTGACGTGACAGCTAAATGGCCTGCCACCTCCCTGGCCTGTCACCTCCCTAGTCTGCCGCCAGCTCCCCATTGCCTTCACCATTTCCTCCTGGAAACATGAGATGCTGTCCTTTCAAAATATAAGGACAGACTGACTCTCACCTTCTGAGTATTCTGCCCTTTGACTCTTACAGTGTCTTTACTTCTGTATGGTAAACATGCATCAAAGCTTTTGGTTTATTTGTGACACAAATATTTCAGAAACAAAGTCTAACGTTTCTCTACTGGAAGAGCCCAGGGCTCAGATGCTGCTTGCTTTAAATGGGTGGGTGGTGGCAGTTCTCTGAGGGCCATTTCCTGCATTAGCCATTTTGGTAAATTCTGGAGTAAGACAGATCAGACCCATGAACAGAAAAGGGTTTATGCATATAAAATCTATCTAATCTCTGCTATCTTCAGTATCAATCCATTTTTTTGATCAAAATGTCCACGGAATCGAGTTTGAAGGCAGCATTATCCCTATAAAAGGATACATTCTACTACTTCCAATAGGGGTTCTTTCCTCTTCCGGAGGGGTCATTCATATAGCTGGAGCCTGAGAGGAAGAGAAGGCCTGTAGGGCCAGAGTAATACTAGAAGCTAGGGGAGGCCTTCTATCTTTATTTGCTTTCTGTTGCTGAGCTAGAATACCATGGCCAAAGACAACTTGGGGAACAAAGGGTTTATTTCATCTTACACACACCTCTAGGGTCACACTGTCACTGAGGGAAGCCAGGGCAGGAACCTAGAAGCAGGAACTGAGCCAGAGGCCATGGAGAAATGCTACTTACTGGATTGTTCAGCCTGCTTTCTTTTTTTGTTTTTGATGCTGCCTTTTTGTTTGTTTTTGTTTGTTTTTGAAGCAGGCTTTTTCTGTGTCCTGCCCGCCCTGGAACTCGCTGGCCTCAAACTCAGAGATCTGCCTGTCTGTCTCCTGAGTGCTGGGTTTAGAGGAGTGTGCTACCATTGCCCACCTCAACCTGCTTTCTTATACATTCCAGGACTACCTGCCAGGGGTGGCACCACCTACAGCAGGCTGGACCCTCCCACATCAATCATCAAACAAGAAAGTATCTCACAGGCTTGCCTACAAACCAATTTTTTGGAGTCATTTTCTCAATTAAGGTTCCCTCTTCTTAGATGACCCTAGCCTGTGCTGGGTTTACAAGCAACAAAACAAACACAACCAGGAAACCCCTTGTGCCTCGGAGAGCAGATGGACCAAGTGTCTTTGTCCACCCACCCTCTGTATTTGAGCATAACTCGGTGAGTACCGTAAAGGTCAAGTCACCAGGAGTCGCAGCAGCCTGCCCCAGCAACACTACATCAGCAGTGTTTCTAATGAGGGTGAAGGAAGACAACAGAACCCACAGTTACCCACGTGCATTCTAAATGAAGTATTAGACCTCTAACCCAGCGTTGCTCAAAGAGTGTGCCACAGCACACCAGCTCACAGGGCTATTGGCTATTAACGATGTTTCCTGGAAAGAGAGCTCACTGAAAAAAATGAGTTTGGGAAACACTGGGCTAAGGAAAATTAGGCTGCTGATGGTACAGCAATACTCCACCCCCACCCCACCCCCAAGTCTTTAGCTGGACTGGATAGCTCTAGGGAGCTACGAGACCAGTACCGAAAGTCCTGCTCTAGGCGACATTTTCTCAGACTGAACATCACGCTGGAACCTCCCCAGGCAGTCTAGGAGGGAAACTGGCAGCACTGTGTGAGGTCTAAAGTGGCTGACAGGGAATGAGAAACTTCTCAGCACCCAGGACTCGAATTCTGTCTAAATGCATCCACCTGGTCACGATGCTGCTTCATGGTAATTCTTCTGGAATCCAGCTGAAGCCTCTAAGTGCCAAGACGCCGGGGCACGAGAGCCATCCTCGCAGCCTTTCTCCTCCATTTAAAGAAATATAGAAAACCTAATGTCAAGGCTGCTAAAAATAGGCTTTGTCTAAGAGAATTTGTTGGCTGGTTCTGAAAGAGCAGTCAATACTAATGACATAATCACGACATCGAGGGCTGCTAACAGCCGCGGAGATGACTTAAGAGCCCTGCTGTGGAGTCTGTAGGGCTGGGTTACCCCCCAGGGTTGGGCTACCCCTCACCCCCCCACACACATGTATGCAGAAACATGTATACATAATGCCACGTGTATACCCCATTTCCTTTCACCGCCATTCCTAGAGATGGCCCAGGAAACGCTCAGGTAACAGAGCCAAGAGTTCTGAGGGCCCCACCTCAGTCTCGGTCTGCAGACGTCTCCTGGAGCCACTTCCTTATCGGAATGTTTCCCCCTTTCCCCAGCAACACCCCTGTAGCTCATTCTAACCCCTAACACGCCTCATTCAGTTCCTGTCTCACAGTGCCAACAGAGCGCCAGCCCCAACACGACGAACATGTGACATGGCCTCGAATCCTCTCTCCTTTTCTCACAGCCTAGTCAGTTCCCTCTGCGGGCGGCATCCATCCCACCAACCACAGCACACACCACACCCTGGTCACTGCATCCTCTCGGCAGGAACCCAGATGTATCATCTGTATCCTCAACATGGGACACCAGGCAGTCACCCGCCAGGACACGGGAGCTGCCTCCGAGACCTGAGTTCTTGAAGATCACACTCGGGCTCCTCATTTTAGAGTTCACTGCCTTCCGGGTCTGTTCTGCTGCTTCCTACGGGGCTGACTCTTCTTTCTTTGGACAGAGAAGTCTAGCTGTACACGGACACGTGTCTCTAGAGGCTTACCCACATCTCCTTCGATAGCTGCTTATGCCCACACTACTGGGTGCCTCGGTTTGTACACTCTCATCCCTCATGCTCGCTCCAATCTAATCCTGGTGCCAAACACAAGCCAACGAAGACATTCCTTGTCCCACCATCCCTCCACCTTACTTTTTCACCAGGAGGTCTGCGCTATGGCAATCTATTTTACCCCCGCCCCATTTTCAATACTTACACAGAGACTAGTATGGAAATCGTTGGGATTTTGAACAGAAAGAAAGGGTTTTTGAGCAACTGCTCTAAAGAAGGGTTAGCTTATCGTAAAATAACTCCAAATGCCACACAATTCGCGCAGGCTTAGGGGGACAAAGAAGCAGGAGGCAATATGGGAGGACACCAGCTCCAAAGAGCATCCTCGGAAGCAAGGCAGACAAGACTCTTCCAACCTCTGGAAACGACCATTTAGATGTGTATTTAGTGAAAATGGATTTATCCGGGTCCTGACTGCAAAAGGTTATATCCCTCTACCCTCAGAAGGCCCAGGCATGACATCAGAGGTTTGCAGTAGCCTTTAAAGTCATTAATCCTTTTTCATGGTAACATGACTGCTTTGGTGGAGGAGAGGAGGCGGAGCAAAGGGGAAAGGGACTCAGGCAAATGCCTGCTCTGGGGGAGGGGGGACAAGGCAGGTGTTTAGCCTCCATTTTACCATTTAGACTCTAGGCTTCCTTTCTAGGTCCAGGCAAGTCACTGTTTATTATGTAAACAGCCCAGTCTTACAGAGTCACTGTTGTTGCAAGTCTGCCCGAATCCTTCCTTTCTCCTGATGATAGAGACAGAGCACCATTGGCCGTGCTCAGCAGGCACTATGGTGTGTATGCTTTCTAGGATTGGACACCAACAATCCTGCTCAAGTTTCCTCTCCACAGACTTGTATTTAAGGCCTTATTCTTAAAAAAAAAAAAAAAAAAAAAAAAAAAAGGTCACAGATGGGGACCTGTTCATCCTGAAATACAGGATACAACCTCAGTTCTCCTCTCGTTTCTAGATCGGATCCTGCACTAATTGGGTTAGGGTTGAGGATGTAGACCACATTACTGGATCATTTGGCAAAACTGAAGGACAGGAGGCAAGCACTACAATGATAATTTCAACAAATCAGCTCGATCGAAAGGGAGGAAAATCCCACCCTCAACGTACTGATAACTCCTAACCGGGCATCCATCACCCATCAACCAACACCATCGAAGTCTAGCATCTTCAGGGAAAGAACACTTTTGATTTTCACCCAGCCGGGGCAGAGGCACATGAAAGTGAGACAGACTGGCCGAGGAAGCTTAGGACTCAGCACGATGGGACGCGCAAAGGTCACAGACCCTGAAATCCAGCCCAGCATGCGCTCGGGAGTAAATACAAGAAACACCTGCCCCTTCAACCCCCATGCCAACTGTAGTCAACTCCAGGATGCTCAGCAATATGAACATGCACCCAAGTTCATGTTACACACATCAGGTTCCGTCGAGTGCTTGGAGTACTTGGCGTTAAGCTTTAACACCTGGGTAACACGGAATGACAAGGTCCATAGGGCACATCAGGATGAGGGGCAGATGGGGCAGAGGAGGCAGAAACCTACCTCTGAGGTGCTGCAGGCTTGGCAGGCCAGATGACTCCTGCCAGCTCTGTAAGGTACGCATGTACAGGTGGGCTCTTCCAGGTGAGCACACCGCACAATGGCCTCAAAAGCAGAGCAGGTATTTAAGAACATGTGTGCCTGCAACCCCATCCCAAGGAGAGGCGACTGGGGGCAGGGGAGCGGTGACTAGGTCAAGGGGTTCCCAAAGACCAAGTCTATGCATTGGCTTGCTTTGTGTACCAAAGGATACCTGTGTTTAGAGACATGGGAATATAAGGCAGGTCCTGACCTGTTTCCTTCTATTTCCAACTGAGAATTACAGGGCACCTTCTCCACGTTACACCTGCGGCAGAGTAAAAAGAACACTAGAGTCAGAAGACCTGTGTCCTCCTCCCAGCCCAGCCCCTTCCTCAGGCTGGGTGACCTGGAGCAATTAATCTGAGAGTCAGCCTGGTTGAGCTGATCACACCAAGTACCATTCTGCAATGATACACATTTCTCCAATGTGACAGTGCCTGGGGCACAGCTTCCCTTCCTGTGTCTCCTTGTTCCCCTGTTCCATTTCTATCCACACGTGGTGTCCCATTCATAGTTCCCAGAGCAGTGGAGAATGAGAAGCCACATTAGGGGTGTGTTGGTCTTGTCTGGCCTCTCATTTGTACAACAGGGATCATACTTACCAAGACAACTCCTGACTACAAGCTAGATAAGGTGGTCTTGTTTACAGCGTCCACCACAGGAACAGATTCCAGGCAGCAGCCTAGATTCTGGTCATGAAATAGACGCTCCTTTCCCAGTCTCTCGTTTCCAACAGATCACTGAATAAGCACTCTTGACTGAGAGTGGATTTGAGCCACTCGCTGAGGGCTACCTGACAGTTCTGGACACTAACACACAGGTGGCCTTCTGTGTGGGAGCGGAGGGAGGGTAATCAGGTGAGTGGGTAACGCCTTGGGAAGCCCTCCATCCCTCCATCCCATCGGGGTTATGCTCTAGAACCAACCAGCCATCTCCCGGGGCAGACCCAAGCCAGCCCACCTCTGCACGACCACTGTTTGCTTCACCCACAGCAGGAGCAACTGGCCAGGGTCAGGCAACACTACACAGAGGAGGTATGAGAGTGCCCGCAAAACTCCAAATACACAGCATTATCCAGGATGTCTGAAATCCAGGTGAGGACGGGGAGGGCCACGCTAGAAACCAAAGTTGTAAGGCTGCTGGGTTCACAACACAGAAATCTACTTTTCCAAAGTCTGAAATCTGGAGGCTCTTCAAGAACAGGAGGACATGGTTAGATTTAGTTACGGGCCTCAGAGAGAAGGCAGGACAGCAAGAGACAAGAGGCTGGCCTCCCACACGAGGGAATGGCGGTCGTTCCAGGGTCTCGGGGAGACAGTGTGTGAAGATGCAGGAGGAGGCTTGCCTTGGAGACCCTATGTGGGGAGGGAACTTT